TCAGCACTCGTTTCCAACACCACAGCTCAAAGGCATCAATTATTCTTCTGTCATCCTTATTCATTATCCAGCTCTCAGGATAGCAAGTGATTGGAAAGACTCTGGCTTGAATCAGGTGCACCTTAGTGTTTAAACTGAATCATTGCTTTTCAGGACTTTGGAGAGGTCCCTGACAGCAGACTTTCTCAGTGCTGTATGTCTCCTGATCTTCTGACTGCTGATACCTAGGGTGTTCATTGTGGATCCAATTAAGATGGAGTATGTAAAGGAGGTGATGGAAAATTGCAGTTCAATTAAAGAACTTTTTGTTTAGCAAATGACATCACTGAGAATTAAAAGGCAACCCATGGAGGGGGAAAGAATGTCCACAACATGTGAAACCGGCCACAGGCTTTGTCCAGCTTGACCATGACCACTGGAGTTAAGGTCTTCTCATGTCAGGGGGACACGGATCACAGCTGTGAGGCTGTTTCTCGTACTGATGATAGTTACGAAGGAATGTGCTTTATTATCAGTTATTGTATATTATGCTGTTGTTAGACACTTTGCTGCGTACATTATATTTCTTAAAATGTTGAAGATGAAACAGAGTATTACAGTAAAAACCTTTGGGTTTGTGAGGCTGTAAAGCATGAGGAGAGAGGACTGCTCATTTTTCTCGCATGGAGCTGCTGGTGGATTCGAACTGCTGGAGATACTTGGTCTTTGGGTTAGTAGTACAACTTGCCAAGGAGGATGCCATCATTTTTCCCTAGGATGAGGATGCAGGGGATGGGAAGGGCCAGTTTGAGGGGGAAGTGGGGTTCTCAAGCCCTGTGCCTAAGCCTGGCTTCTTTGCATCACGCAGACAGATCCTTGATGATATATGTCCAGCCTCACTCCTTCGGCCATGCGTGCCTGTGCACTGCTGTGCCAGTGTTTTCTGGATTTAGGATGGTGGATAGGTTGGCAGCTGCTACTGCTGCTTCCTGCCTGCAACCTCAGTGGGTCATTGGCAAAAAGCCTGTGTCTCTTAAAGGTCCTGCTTCACCCAGTCCCCTGGCCACTCCTGTTCTCTGCTGTCTGAGGTTAGATGCCCACTGTTGGTCAGTAGCAGCTGCACTGAGCCGGACAGCAGGTGTGCTGGGCATGGTGTGGGATGGGCAGCTGGGTGAGGTGGCTGGTAGGGCCTGGGCTGTGCCAGTGCATGGATGCTTCTTGAGTGGGAGGCTGAGGCTTAGAGTAGAATAGAACAGCCCTATCCCTGAACCCCACTCAGTGCTCCATATGTAATGGGGTCTATCTTCCTTTCTCCCCACTGCAGCCAGGCCCAAAACTCTGGGAGACAGGCCCACGACCCCAGGCTGGCAAATGGCAGAAGCAGTAGTGAGAACTGAGGGGACCTCATACGACCTTGACTTTGCATTTAATCTGTCATCAGTGAACAGGCTGCTGTTGTTGTTGTTGTTGTGTACCATCCTGTCAGAACCGACCCATAGCTGACACTATGGCAGGAAAATGCATAGGAGGAAATTGTCTGTCATTGTCCCATAGAGCAGCCGGTGGATTTGAACCATGTGGTGGCCCAGTGGCAAGAAGCTGAGCTGCAATCTCAGAGTCATGCAGTGTGAAGCCACAGCTCCTCCGTGGTGGAGGGATGAGTAATCTCCTGTGAGAGTTATTGCATCTTGAAAACCTGCTGAAGGATCAGCTGTGGGTCAGTTCCAATTATGTGGTCAGAATAATACAATAACAACACAATAATACAACACTGTAATAATACAATAACACAGTAACAACAACATAATAACAAAAACCTGTGGGTTTGCAGCACAGTTCCTTACCAGTAAGCCACCAGAACTCCCTAATTTTTACAGATTCATCAAGTTCGAGTTCTAGCAAGATAGATGTGCTTCTTTCTCTGAGTAGCTAATAATAATATTTTCAAATGTGTTGATTTGTGCTAATTTGATGGACAAAAGTAATGTAGCAATATAGTGTTAATTTGCATCTCTGGCTGCTGTTGAACATCTTACCTTGCGAAATGCTTCCCTTGAACCATGTATTCATGCCTTTTGTCCATTTACAATTTACCTCTTCTATTGTTTATTTGTTGGGGAAAAACTCATTTCTGTGCATGTATGTACACGCGCACCCACCAGAAGGCCACATATGTATGTACATGCACATGCCACACATTCACAGGCATAAACGGACACATAGTGCACACATACATGTGCTTACCCACATGTTGAAAGCCACGCATATACATTCATATCCATGCATGTATCCCCACAGAAAGCTACAAATACATATGCACACAAAAGCAAACATGCGTAGACTGAAAATTAGCCTGTGGTCTACGACAGGTGCTGTACAAATTTTTCCCTTTGTGCTTTTTGATTGCTGTGGTTTTTCTGTCTTTGATCTATGGCGATGGTTTCTCTCATGCATAAATTTTTAAACTGTTATATATTCAGATTTGTGAATTTTGAAAATGTCTTCTGAATTGTGAGTGATCCTGGAAAGAGCTTTCCCTTTACTAAGATTATTTAAAACTACTATTATATTTTCTGAGAGTTCTGGGGGCCTTAGGGAGTTAACTCTGCTGACCCAAAGGCAGCCTCTCCCTGGGGGTTCAAATCCGCCAGTGTTAGCGCCTCTGTACAAAGATGGGCAGTCTCCTCCCATCAGAGTCACTGCCTCTGAAAACCCACCTGAGGGTCAGCTGAGAGTCAGTTCCAACTTGATGATAATGAGTTTTTTTGAATTTGTATTTTCTTCCAGCATTCTAGTGGTTAAATTTCTGTCTGGCTATTTCTGTTTGTTCTAGAATGTCCAGCTGGGAGCCCCACAGAACCCACACCTCCCGTAGCCCACCCACACACCAGAGTGTTGTCTGCCCCTTAGTCTCTTACCCTGGTGTGGACTCTTCACCCCTAGGCTGCTTGCCCCATAGCCTGACTGAATGATGAACTCACCTGTTGTGAATGGAATCTGGGGCTGGAGATCTGCTTGTCTGGGATGGAGGTGGGGCGGAGAAGGGGAGAGGGAGAGAGAAAGAAAGAGAGAGGGGAGGGATCCCTCTGGTGCTCAGAGGGGCTGTGTGAAGGGAGGACCTGATTTTCCTGAGTGCCTGCCCCTCTCCAGCCCCAGTCAACAGGTGAACCCTCTTGGATTCAGGGTGGCAGGAAGGCTAGCCTTCAGCTGTGTTGATGCCAGGACATGTGGGCAAGCACTGATGGACGTCTGGGGCCAGAAGAGGAAGTGGCCCCTCACAGTGCCCACTTAGGCTATGGCTCTGAGTGACCACAACAAGCTTATAGACCACATGGGCACTTAACTTTCTTCACTAGCCCTGCAGACTCAAAGTTCCTCTTTGGCTGTTTGGATAATTCAGGGAAGACTTTGCACAAAGGATTTGTGAAGTTGACGCATCATCATTAAACCTGCTTTCTATGCCCAGGCTGCTGGCTGGGCCGGTAGGGTGGTAGAAAGACCCCAGGCTGCCTTGGACAATGGAAAGCGGTGGCAGCCAGTCTTTACCCAGTAGAGGCACACATACACACACACAGTAGTGTTGCTGGCCTTGTGCCCCTCTGCCCTCAGTCACAGCTGCCTTTCCAGTCTTTCAGCCCGCCTGGCGTCCCACCGCAGTGGCCCCCACTCCAGGGAGCTCTCCTGTGGAACGTCGTCGGAATGTTTTGGCATTGGATTCGGAGCTTGGTTAATCTTGAAGAATCCAGGCTTGGGGGCGTGTGCGGGTTTGCGACGGGGGCGTTTCCTGGTGGTACGCTGTTCTCAGGACAGCTGTTAGGATTCCTGTCTGGGGACCAAGTTCTCCTTCATGTAAACTGGCTTTTGTTTGGGGAAGTGTGATACTTTCTGCTTCGAGCATGAGAGGACAGTGGTGGCCCTGTCATCTTGCTGTCCCTGGCTGAGCTGGCAGGCACCCTGCTCTTGCTCTGTGGGCAGAGGGGCCCTCTTTCTGTGGACACCTGCAGCCAGTCATTTCCTGTGGGCAGCTTAGTGCGCCTCTGGGAGTGTCCTTTGCCCCTGGGTCTGGAAAGGATCCCTGGGAAAGCCCACAGAGGTGGAGTCAGAGCAGGTCCCTGAGGCCTGGGGAGGATGAGGCAAAGACCCCAAAAGCTCTGAAGGTGTTAGGGGAGGGCAGCCCTGCAGGAGCTTGAGCAGAGCACACCTGGGAGGGCAGGGCAGGGCAGGCCCTGGATGGGCATGGCTGCAAAGAGCTCAGTATTTGCACTGTCTGTGCTCACTCAGGGCTGGGGAACCAGGGAGATGACTCAGCAGGCCCTTAGTGGGTGGCCAAGGGGAAACTTGGGCAAGGGAGGAGTTCCCCCAGCACACAGCAGTCTGTCCTAGCCCCTTCCTATAAACAAGAATACTCAGACAAGTGCAGGGGGCTATAGCAAGGCCAGACCTGGCAGAGCCAGCTGTCTGAATCTCCTGCTGTGAATACCAAATCTTCCCAAATAGCAGGGGTCCCTCTGGAGGGGCTGGAGAAGGATGGGAGGCTGACTTGTGTGCAAGAACCGGGGAGGCTCCTGAGGTGGGGTGTGCCTGCAGATTCCAAGAACAGTGGGGCTGGTGGGACAAAGGAGTGGATGGTGCAAGGCCCCCTTGTTTGCTCTGTAGTGGGGACTTGAGGGTCCCTGGTCTGTCCTCCCTGTACTCTGCCCAAATCATAGTCACGAGTCATAGAAATGGGGAGGTCTGCAACATCTGTTTTTCCTACACCATGGGGCTGGGGTAGGACTCCTTAGGGGAGTAATCAGAGATGGGGTCCAGAGTGAATGCTTAAACTGTGAGAATCTCCTCACTGGGACCCTGTTCTGGCTCTCCCTGGGGAAGCTCTGCCCTTTCCATGCCCCTGCAGCCTTGTGCTGCTTTCTGCTCTTTCACTGGAGTCCTTTTGTGGGAGCTGCCCCCCTTGCCCTTGTGCCGTCTTTGTAATGCCTGCTCTTCTGGAGTGGTGGTAACTCTCGCTTCTCTGTGCCCAGGCTGACGGGCAGTGAGCCCCTGACCATCCTCCCACTGACCCTGGAGCCTGAGGCTGTGGCTGCCAAGGCGCACTACAAGGCCTGTGACCGGCTGAAGTTGGAGCGGAAGCAGAGGCGCATGTGTCGCCGGGACCCGGGGGTGGCCGAGACTCTGGTGGAGGCCATCAGCATGAGCGCCCTCGAGTGCCAGTACCAGTTCCGCTTTGAACGATGGAACTGCACCCTGGAGGGCCGCTACCGGGCCAGTCTGCTCAAGCGAGGTCAGTGCTGCTTGTGTACCCCCCAACCTGCCCCACCACTGCCCAAAAGGTCATGGCTGGGCTGCTGCAAAGGTCACTGATGCTGGGGCCCTTGTGGCTGGGTGGAGTGAAGGGGCTTTGCCCAGTCCTGGGTGATGGTAGGAGAGGAGGTAGGAGGCCAGCCTCTAGCCTCAAGTCTTCTAGTAGTTCTGGGGCCTCTGCCTCACTCAGGCATCTCCAGTGTTGTTTCAGGAGGGGCTGGGGATGCTGTGGGTACCTGTTGGACCATAAAGGGTGGCCCGGTCTTCTCGCTGTGTGTGGCTCCTGAGGGGCAAGGAGCAAGACAGTTCTACTGGACCAAGGGTGGTGAGGTGACCTAGGCACCAGGAAGGTGGAAGAACTATTCCAGATGCTGGAAAAGCCGGAGGTTGCTGGGCCGAACCACTGTCTGGCCTGGGGCTGGATGTCAGGTGGACGGGGAACACGTTTTCCCAGTGCCTGGAGGCCCTACTCCTTTACTCACTTCTGCCTTCCTGCCGGCCCCTCCCTTGCACTGGTGGAACAGTTGCTGGGGAGGCAGGGCCCACTTGTGCAGCCTTTCACGGCGAGTGCGAGGCTGCCAGAGGTGGGTTCTGATGGCTCCTGACACGTGCTGGGTGGCCTGGAGCCCACCGCCTGGGCACAGGGCCTGTGCTGCAGCTGGTGCCTCCTGGCCCTGGAGCCCAGAGCCGGGTCCCCTCCTCTCTCCCTCCCTTCACATACAGCCGCTGCCTGAAGCTCTGGCTCCATTCGAGCCAAGCTAGAAACAGACTTGTTTAAAAGCTGGGAAGCTGGGGAGTTGAGGCTGAAGCAAAGAGGGGCTGCTGAGTATAGCACAGTGAGAAGTGACCTTGGGCCTCTCAAGGAGGGGGGTGATTGAGAGTCATTGCGGGGCTCTCTGCACCAGGATAATGGTCTCTGCTGTGTGCTAAGTTTCCCAAGTGCCACTCCCAGAGCCCGGTGCTGCCTGTGGCCGTGCTCACTTGAAATCAGTGCGGGAAGGACACATTCCCTAATAACCGCCTCAAGTTGAACACCACCAGGAACAATACTCTCCTTCCTCTCTTCCCTTGTGGAAGGGTCCACCATTCCTGATTTTTTTGTCTAGAATTTATGCTTTGAGTGAGTGTGCAAGGGCTTGACTGTGAACTTGTGTCTGAGAGGCCTCCTTCAAAGACTCTGTGGGATGAAGGAAAGAGCTGTCTAAAAGGCGTATATGATTAGGCATTATTTGTATGAAACAGTCCAGAATAAGAGGTGCATAGCAAAGTGAACTGGGGAAGAGGAGTGGGAGTGGAGGGCAAAGAAATGAGGCAACAATGAATGAATATTTTTTTAAAACATGAACTGGGGGGAAGGAAGGGAGGAAAATGTGCAACAATGAGTGAATGAAAATCCAATTTTTTTATAAACTTTTGTTAAAATCACAATTAAAAAACCCAACAACAAACCCCCAAAGACTCTGTGGGTCTTCTGGAGAGCTGTCCAGACCTCCTGCTGACCTACACTGTGTCTCCCCAAGGTTTCAAGGAGACGGCCTTCCTGTACGCCATCTCCTCGGCTGGGCTGACCCACGCGCTGGCCAAAGCCTGCAGCGCCGGCCGCATGGAGCGCTGCACCTGCGACGAGGCGCCCGACCTGGAGAACCGTGAGGCCTGGCAGTGGGGTGGCTGCGGGGACAACCTCAAGTACAGCAGCAAGTTCGTCAAGGAGTTCCTCGGCCGCCGGTCCAACAAGGACCTGAGGGCCCGGGTTGACTTCCATAACAACCTTGTGGGCGTGAAGGCAAGTGAGGAGTTCCTGCGATGAGGGCCAGGATTGTCTCTGGGCACTGGGAAGGGAGGTGAGGACAGGCTGCTTTCAGGTCCAGTCTGTGGTTTCGGGAAGATACCCTGAAGGACCTTGTCCTTAATACTGCTTGCCGACAGATGGGGACGTGATTGTCCAGGGAGGTAGCTGTGGACTGTACTAAAGGAGATGACCATAGGCCTCAAACCAAACAGAGACATAACTGTGGGCCTCACTGAGATACTTTATGTGGAGCAACCTTTGCCAGGACCCTGAGAACATTTCTCTCCCCTGCTGTCTGGGCTCCCTCACAACAACCCCAATCAGCAGCCCTGTTGCTTGCTGTTCCCCAGGGGCTGTGAGAATGGCCAGGCCTTCCTGGGGAGGATGAGGTAATTAGAGTCGGCCCACTGTGCATGCCTCTTTATTGAGAAGGATTCTGAATTGCCACTTATTAAAAATTCAATTTCCCCCCTTTTGGCCAAGGCTCTTGTCCCTCCCTTAGTCATTCTGGGGAGGGGGCTGCCAGGCAGAGCCTTTGCTAAGGGCAGAGGTGAGCGAGCTTCACCTCTGGAGTATGGATCAAACCCCACAAGACCTCTCTTTTCTTCTGCCCGCCTCCCTTTCTTTGCACTTCAATTCTTTGTACGTGATTATTGAAAAGTCAGAATATTAAAAGTGCTCAATTAGTTCCACTGGAGCTGGGTAAGCGACGTTTTAATTAAATTTGTCCGAGTTTCTCAGCAAACTGTCATTAAATGTGACTCTTGTGTTGCCCGCCCGCCTGGAAGATTGCTAAATTTCTTAATCCTCCTCAAGCTGGCCTTTCCCTGGGGCCAGCGGCATGGGAGCTCAGCAGCCTGACCAGGGCCCCTCCCTTCTCACACAGGGTGAGAGTGATTCCTGCGGGGTCCTGAGGTGCCAGTGGGGCAGGAAGTATGTGTCAGAGGTCTTTTTAGTTGGGATCCCAAGTCATGACAGGGGAAGGGTCCCTGCAGGTGGTACTCAGCATCTCAGGCCACAGAGCTATGGGTTTGGCTGTCAGCAGGCTTCTTGTCCTGGGCGCCAGTGTGAGCTCTACTCGGGGTGGTCTTCACTCCACTCCCACACTGTTTCCTGCAAGGCTGACTCCTAGGACCGTACTACCTGGGAGTGGACTCGGGGAGGAGGGTGTGTAGCAGGTACAACAACAGCCAGCAGTTTTACTGACCTGTGGAAGATAATGGCCCCAAGGCTGAGGCCAGAGAAGCACAAGTGCAGACTTTGGTACACATCCCCTAACCTTCGCCTCTCCTGCTCCCTGGATCTCATCCCCTTACAGAGATTCTAAACCCACACTGCTAGGTCCCAGGAGGTGGATGGCTGCGGGTAGGGAGTAGCCTTTCTCTGTGGAGAGCAGCTTACCTTGGTTCAGATGCCTAGACCTGGGGTGGGCTATCTTTTTGGGTCAGAAGTTGGCCTTTTCTCCAGGTTCTCTGAACCTAGGGGTGTTGGGTAGGGTAGGGAGCCTATGCTGCTAACCAGCTCATTTCTCCCTCCCCGCCAGGTGATCAAAGCCGGGGTGGAGACCACATGCAAGTGCCATGGTGTCTCGGGCTCCTGCACGGTGAGGACCTGCTGGCGGCAGCTGGCGCCCTTCCATGAGGTGGGCAAGCACCTGAAGCACAAATATGAGACCGCACTCAAGGTGGGCAGCACCACCAATGAGGCCACGGGGGAGGCAGGTGACATCTCGCCGCCCAGAGGCCGGTCGCCCGGGGTGGGCGGTGGCGACCCGCTGCCTCGCACTCCGGAGCTGGTGCACTTGGACGACTCACCGAGTTTCTGCATGGCTGGCCGCTTCTCCCCAGGCACTGCAGGCCGTAAGTGCCACCGAGAAAAGAACTGTGAGAGCATCTGCTGTGGACGTGGCCACAACACGCAGAGCCGGGCAGTCACACGGCCTTGCCAGTGCCAGGTGCGCTGGTGTTGCTACGTGGAATGCAAGCAATGCACACAGCGGGAGGAGGTCTACACCTGCAAGGGCTGAGCTCTGCCCACCCCTCGCCTGGACTGAGCCGCCATCTGCCGCCCCCTCTCCAGGAGCCCTGAGCTGGGAGGTGGCTTCAGTCTCTGCAGTCACTCTGCTTTTGACTTGGGACCCATAATGGTCCCTTTCTCGGCCTCAACTTGCCCTGTCCTTTGGTCTGAGAGCATTGAACTGATGCTTTCTAAGCTGCTGCTTGACCCTAAAATGCCATTTCCTGAGGTCCCAGAGATGAGTCCTTGTCTGCTAACACCTGCTCTCACTCGAGTTCAGAGTGTGGCTCCTTCCCGCATCCTTGCTTCCTTCTGAGGAGCTGGGGCACACCCAGGGCCTGGGTCGGGTGACTGCAGAAAGCTCAGCCAGCAGAGGCTGCCGACCGCCCAACACTGTTCAGCTCGTTAAACCACTAGAAGAAAAAGCATCCCGCTTCTGCTTCGACACCCTGTGCCAGGGTCTCTGGGGGAAGGAGGAGACACAGATGATCCTGTGCCCCTTCTCTGACTTTGAGCACTTCTCTTCGGAGTGAATATCAGCGACTTTTAAATTATTATTATTTAATGAATATAGTAATTATTATTTTTCCCCAGGCCACTTTTTGAGGGCCCCTTCTGTCGTCCCCTCTTTCCCTTCGTCCCCTTTGCCTGACTCTGCTTTGTTGTTGGAAACCACTAAATCAAGATCTTTTTTTTTTTGGAAAAAAAAGAAAAGAAATAAAACTGTGTGTGGCCATGGGCCCAGGGCTCTGGAAGCTGGGTCCTCTGCCAGCCGGGCATGGCATGCTGTGAGCAGCCAGCCAGCTCTCTGGGCTCCTTGACTCGGATTCAGGGTTGGGAGTGGCAGAGGGTGGCCTGCTTTCCCCCCAGGGCAGACGCAGGCAGAGGTCCATTTCACACAGAAGCCACAGCTTGCTCTGTGCCATGTGCCACTGCAGGGGAGGCAAGGTGGAGACAGGCGAGTGTGGAGGGAGTCTTGTGCTAGGATTCAGCAAACCAAATACTGTTCTCTTTGGTCATGCTGTTCTCTTTGCAGGAGAGGGAAAGGACAGCTCACACTGACCTAGTTTGGTTTGAGTCAATGTATGTATGTGTGTGTATGTGCATGGATGTGCTTTAGTGTGTATGGGTATGCATGTATATCTACATACATTTATTGGATGTGCACACGTGTGCACGAGTGTAATGCATTTGCATGTGCACACACACACACACACACACACACACACACACAACTATGATTGTGTGTGAACCTGCGTGCACATGCATGTGAATGTGAGAGTGGTCACTGGCCAGCTGGGGTGGGGCAGCCACCGAGGGCTCCTTTTCTCAGAGCTTCTATGGTGGCTCTCCTTCCCTGAGCTGGTGTGCTGCCTGCTGCCTGCTGAGGGAGGGCCTGGTCCCAGGGAGCGAGGCTGGGGTGGAGCGGTGGCACGCTGTGGACACGCACATGCCGGGCCAGGCCGGGGTGGGTGTTGAGCTGGCGGGTGGTGTGAACGCAGGAACTACTGAGTGAGCATGCTTCTCTGAGTCCCAGGGTCTCAAGGAAGCCCGGGGTGACCGTGCTTTTAAAAGAAAACCTATTTATGTTGATGTGGGTCTCTGTTGTCCCTGTTTATAGTGTAAATAGTAAATTCTATTCTCCTGTGGTTCAGAAAGCACCCTATGAAGTAACCACGTGTCTAAAGGGAGGTGCTGGAGTGGAGGGCCAGCTCTGTCTCCAGAGGGCACAAATGTGCTTGGGGGACAGGCAAGGAGCACAGCACCGTGGCAGCTGGGATCTGGGTCAGCCCACCACCTTCGGGAGACCTGGCTGGGAGAGGTGGGGTTGGCGTATATCCTCCTAGCTGGGACTCCATGGTGGAGCTGGCCACTGCCATGACAAGACTATGTCTGGTCACTATTTGCGTCCGTGGAAGGGTGGCCCATCAGAGGAAGGATTTTTTTTTAAATCAAATACCACATTTAGCTTTATTCCATAAATATTAAGAAAAGTATTTTTTTAAACAAGGCAGACTGAAAATGTTTGCTGGTTTGCTTGTTTATATATATAAATATAAATATATAAATATATATATATATATATTAGAACGTCTTACTAAGCAAAGACATTGCTACCCTGCTGGGGCCTTCTATTTACCATGCTTCTCTTCGGTGTGACAGAGTATTTCTAGAAGAAAAAGCCTTATATGGGGTGGCATTCACCTTCTCTCCTCAGCCTGGACCCACAGCTGGACCCAGAGTACTCGGCCTGGGGGCCCACCACCACCTGTCTGGCGAGGCCCATTCCCCCACTCTCCTCCGTTAGGGCTGTGTGGTGGGCCAGTCACACACAGGGGTCAATCCTGGCTGGGAAAAGAGGGACATATTCACCCGTGAAGAATTCTTGTCTTTATGTTCAGAGTCTTGTGAGAGAGCCTTTCAATTTCTCTACCTCATCTGTGTAGCAAGTAGGTGTGTACCTGAGTGACTGTGGAAAACTTATTTAAGTTATTTAACACCTTTGTATAACAAAGCCAGAAACAAAATGGAAACAATGAATAAATGTATTTTAAATTATAACCACTCTCAGTCTGCATTTGTGGGAATTCTGTGGGATGTGGGTAGGTGGTGAGGAGAAGGGTGGAGAAGGGTGCGTAAGTCCTCGTCTGCACAGAAAGTCCTGACTGTCTCTGGGGGGGGGAGTGTAAGAAGCTCTGCCCCCCTGTCCAGGACTCTGTGCTGGGAGTTGGGGCTAGCTTACCTCTGCACTCTGTATACCTGCAGACTCTGCCCCCTCAGAGCACCTTCTGAACTGGCCAGGCAGCTAGCCTTTGCATACCATCTTCCATATCAGAGAATCACAAACTGGGTGGCTTATCCCAAACATTTATCCATTGCAAACTTCTTGGAAAGCCTGTGATCAAGGTATTGGCAGGGCTGTGGCCCCTCCTGAGATTTGAGGGGAGGATTCTTGTTTGTGCCTCTCTCAGTTCCTGGCAGCTCCAGGCATTTCTTAGTTTATGGCACACCACTCCTATCTGTTCTGTCTCTTGTCTGTGTCTCCTCTTCTTATAAGGATGGTCATTGGATTTAGGGCCCTCATCAGCTTATAATCTGGGATGATTTAATCTCCATCCTTACCTTAATCACAACTGTGCAGACTATTTCCAAACAGGAAATAGTTCTAGGTTCTAGGAGGATGTGAATTTGGGGGGATGATATTCACCTCATTATAGCTCCTGAAACTTGAGAAGAGGCCTGATTGGTGGGATGTATGTTCCTAGGTCCTGCTGACTTGCCAGTTTTGGGGGGAGTACCGAGCCTCCTCATACCGATCAGGGTGGGCCGTACCCCTCTTTGACTGGAAGCAGAAGTGTACAGGACAGCCCTTGTCTTCTTAAAACAGACCAAACAATTTGCTAATTGAGTCAATTCCAATTCTTAATGACTTTACAGGACAGGGTAGAATTGCCTGATACGATTTCCAAGGTTGTAGGAAAGTAAATGACTTTGTCTTTGGAGGAACATTCTGCCCTTTCTGTTAGCAGCTGATGCCTAGCCATCGTGCAAGGGGTGCTGCTTGTCTTCTGAGTCAGAAAAGCTAGGTGCTTCCACCACCAAGCTTCACCCTTCAGGCAGGTCAGAAGAGCCTCAGGCTGCCAGAGTGGGACATCACTCTCTACACTCCTGGCCCCAGGCAGGCAGGAGCACTGAACTGGGTCTGGGTGACTTTTGCCTAGCTGGGGAAGGGGGAGTCTTCCTAGGCCCTAGCCCTCAGCAGTGTTTCCCATTCCCACACTTTCTCACTCCCATTTCTGGAGAGGTGAATGTGGTGCTAGCAGAAAATCCTGCTCTTGTCCATGTTGAGATGCCCAACCCTCCCACTTGGGCCAGCATCCTCTTTCTAATGCACTAGGACCCCTGCGTGGTCCCATCAAGTTCTGGGTCCCACCAAGCCTGGTCCATGTGGTTCAAACAGCACAGGGCTCCAGAAGAAGTGATGTCACTGTGCAGTTGCCATGCTCTACTAAAAGTTCCACTTCCTCCCCATCCACACCTCCACAGCTCCACTCCTGTCTCTGCCACTTCTGTGTCATATCTGTCCTAGTGTGCTCCCCACCCCAGACTCAGGGGATGGGATTGCCTAGCTAAGGAATGTAGAATAACTGCCTGGTCCTGCTGCTCAGGTGGAGGTGGCCTGTGCCCACTGCCAAGCCCCTTTCTGGCCCCCAGGACACCTTTGGGAAGAAAAAAAAAGATTTAGTGGACCAGAGATGCTGCCCTGGGATGAAACAGTGGCCTGACTGACCTGCCTGACTTCAGGTACTTGGGACGTCCTGAGGCTGGGCTGCCTGCATATGTGCATGTGTGGGCAGCCTTGTCTTGTTTCTTGACTCTGAGGATGACCAGGTGACTCCTTACTGTGTCATGGGTTGTCGGGCAGTGACAGCTTCTGTTGCAGACGCTGCTTCTGAAAGGGAGATAACTGGGTGCAGAGGTGATCTGGGCCACGCCTGCAGCAAGAGGAGAGGGGACTTTCAAATGCTGCAGTGAGGCCATTTTTTTTCTGGGCAATAATGGCTGAAACTGAAGCTAACACTTCTCTTGGGCAACCTGAGGACAGAGGACTGTGTAGGGCGAGTGAGCTAGCAATGCAGCCGTCGCGATCAGCACTGGGGACACATGCCTGGTCTTCCTCATAGGTCATACAAAGTGCTTCGGAGTGTGTGGTGCCCCTCCCTGCCTGGAGTGGATGTTCTGCAGGTCTGGGCCTGGCTTGGCATGAATGTGGGCATGTCTTTGTGTGTCTTTGTAGGTGTGCATCTGTGTGTTTGAGATGGCCATGCATGTCTGTGTGCCCATTTGTGTGCATATGGATATATGCATGCGAGTATATATCTGAGTGCGTAACTGTCCATGTGTGTTCATGTCATGTGTCTGTTGATGTGTTGTGTGTTAATGTACACATGTCTGTAAGCCCGTAAGTTCCCATGAACTGTATGCATGTCTTCATGTGCGTATCTCTCTGTGTGTAGGT